ACGTCAGGTAACCAGCTGTGACCATGTCGAGCCGCATGAAGGTACGAATCGGAGGCGAATTCAACCTTTGCTTCCTGCTCGAACACGAGCAAGTTTCACACCCAAGCGCGGGTATGCTCTCTTGTAATGACATCCTCGATCAGCACGTCCTGGATCTCGTTGGTACATCAATGTGCTCTTCGCGCGGCGTTCCAGTCAGCTTAAAAGACAGCTTCCGTTTGAGAAGGTGTAGAAACGGGCAGCCCCGGCGGGTGTCTTTCCGAGTTCATACCATCGCTGGTGGCTTCAAAGGAGGGGTAACGGGAAACTGACATCCCCCGCAAGCTGCGACTTCGGCCAGCCGTAAGACTGTTGGGAAGGGAACAACCCTCAGCTGGTGGAGGATGAGGTGGGTGTAAATGTATTTGAGGGAGGTGGGCGTGGGTGGTGATGGTGGACGGGGGGGAGGTCTGGATTGGGGATGGATTTGGCGTCTTCGAGGAGGATGGCGCGGTGGAAGTGCAGGATTTCGGGGGCGGGCAGTTCCGGGATGAGGCCGAGGCGGTGGAAGTGCGCTTCGGCGCGGTGGTGGGTGGGCCCGATCCAGAATTTGGGCGCGTGCATGGTGTCGGGGAGCGGTTTGCGGTCGGGGGGGACGAAGGCCGCGCGGGCTTGGACGCTGTCCCAGAGGGCGGGGCTGTAGTGGTCGGTCCATGCGGATGGGGAGAGGTTGAAGGTGGCTTTGAACTGGGGGTAGCTGACCTCCTGGACGAGCTTGGGCCCCCCGATGAAGATGAGCCCTGACAAGGCAGCGTGCACGAGTTGGATGTAAAAGTATGACTGTGTCTCCGAGTACGCCGCGACCTGCGGCTGCGTCGACCGCAGCTGCATTGTCTGTTGCTGTAGCGAGGCAAACGCCAGGCTGATGAACCAACTGCGCCGACGGGTCTCACCTGGCCGGAGATACCGCTGCACCACCGCAAACGCAAATCGGAGGCGACGCTCGGGGTCCTCGAACTGCGTCTTTGTGAAACGCTCCCGGAACGTGAGGTCCGGGTGCTGGACGGGCTCCGGGAGCTCGCGCAGATTTGGCAGCATCCAGAAGTTCTGGCTGTACTCTGACTTCAAGATATCTGGACTGTAGTAGGTGGTGGGCAAGTTTTCATTGACCATCTCCGGGATGTAATGCAGGAGCCGTTTGAAGTTGTAATACTGAGAGTCCCTCTGGTAGACCCGCGTAAGGCTCATGGCTAGTCTGATGTGGTAGAGCCAGAAAACAGTCACCGTCCTACGTATTGTTAATAGACCAGGCGCGCTGAGGTTTCTGTCATCATCGGTGCATACCTCGACTCCGGCTGATCTTGAAGCTGAGAGTTCCGCTGTTTGAATCGGTCCACATCAGCGGCAAACTTGCTCGCCACCTCAAGCAGGCCAAGGTCCATGTTTTCGGGCTCCAAAAGCGTAATGTATGCAGCACGGAGGTACTCATTGTGGTTCCATGGGGAAATTGAGCCGCGGAGGAACCCGCGGCGGAATTCGTCGATGGTTAATTGTGCTGGCGCAGGCCTTTTCTCCGGAGTTTTGTCCGGACGACTTGAGCCCCAGGCCCCAAGCAACGCCATCTCCCGGCAGGCGTTTTCAAGTTGGGTTTCGATGACCCGACAACCGATGGTGGTAAACTCTTGGATTGCATCGTTGTCCACTGGGGCCCTCAACGTACCTTCAAAACGGGGGGCCAGGCCGGATGTAGGGTTGGCGTCAAGCTTGTTTGAGCTATCGATGACGACCCAAAAACGGCATTTATTGGCGTACAGGAGCTGCTGTTCCCGATAGTGGCGGAGGCAGAGAACGGAGGCCTCGACATCCGGATTCGACGCGTCGTGAACAAACAGGAAGGCTGCTCTGTCGCCATGCGAGTTCAATTGGTCGAGAAGATGCCTGGGTGCTACCTGGCGTGAGCTAGGAAGCCTTAGATGGGGTTAGGGGATAAGGGAGCTCACGGGTCTGTGTGGCTTCCTGGGGTTCTGTTAAAGTTGAATGGAGGAGAGTAATGGATCCGTCTGCCATCAGTTCAACGTCGGCCGTTCTCACGCATGAGTCCTGCCAGGGGGGAGCCGGGCTGGGGTCCCATTTTAGAGATTGGGTGAGGGAAAGAAGCGATGTTGTGAGGCCACAGAGGAAGATTGAGTGTTCCGGGGCTGGTTTGGGGAGACCATTGCGGGGGCCATGAGGGGCGTCTTCCGCGTCGCGAGGTGGGGAGGCCATCAATGAATGGTTGACGGAACGGTGATGATGATGATGATGATAATGGTGGTGATATTGGATGAAACGAGAAAAAGTAGTAAAAGATGGATAATGCTAATCCACCCGGAGCACAGATGATGGGTTTTGAGCGCAGTCGACTGGCTCTCAAAACGTGTCTTTTGTGAGTGGCGCGCAATGCTTACCAAATGGAGTCAGATGGAAACAAATCAGACACCAGGAACCACGCCGTGGACATGTATGCGCAGCAGGCAACCAGTGACCCAGCCAAGAAAGCAGCGCCTTATCTTGGCCTCCTGTTCTTGCATCGCAACTATACCCCAATGCAGTATACTCAGCCATCCAGAGTCTCACAGAGTACTTTTTTTCAGGCCCATCTTGGGCTCATGGCAAGCCTGATGGATGCGATGGAGTTGGAAAACAATACGAAGGACGTTACTTCGTAACGCACAGCACCCGCAATCATTCCCAAAACCCATCAATGCGCGTGCGACAGAGCCTGTGGGTCCTTGCGATTGCCCAAAAGGGAAATGGAATCATCTGGCGAACACTGAGGGTGAGAAAACATAAAGCCGTGATGTCAGACCTCGATGCATTTATTGTTTCAATTTGAAGCATGGGCTAGGCCATAGCTTTATTCGATACTGTTTGGTACTCCCGAGATTGAGGATTATCCCTGGCAGAGAACACAGTTCAAATTCTCAACATGATGACAGCTTCGGATCAGATTACGCTCATTACAGAGACCGACTCCCCTTCCACGCTGGTGGGAAGTCAAGCGTACGATAATTCTTTTCGAAAAGACACACTAGATGCTAATTAGGTATATGTACTATATAGTAACGCTCCGGGTTTCTCCCCACTTTTGCACTGGCTTCTGGCCCCTCGGAAGGACGGGGCTTGGATTCCCCTGGACCCTTCGCTCCAAGCCCCGGCAGCGAACGACGCCGAAGCGTCCCTCGCCCGTGCTAATTTTCCCGGCATAAACCCGTCATGGGACTATAGGACTGGGATTGCGAGGTCCCAACCGCCAAGAAGAACCCTGAGACTGGCGGGGATTTCGCGGCCGTCATCGACAGCAACCTTGCGCTCTCGCCGTACGCCGAGGCCACAGTCCTCGTGTCGGCCCAAACAGGAGCTGCATGATGATTTTTTGCCTCAAATTAAGATTCGCGAGAGTGACCTCACCTCGGAGGTTCCACCCGAGCTCATCCCAGACGGCACCATCAATCCCGCGCTGTTGATGCCGGCCGTTAATATTAACCAACCGCCCCAAACCACTGACGCCTCACACCCCATGGCAACCGGCGATTCGGCTCTCAACCGTCCGGGGCCTATTTCTCCTCCCGGTCATAGGGGTAACGGCCTCGACCCCTCCCCTGCACCCCTGACCCCCTCGGACGGCCCCGAAACGGAGGATGACGCTGTCGAAGCCATGATCCACGAGTTTCTGAACCTGGATGAAGATGAGACTCGGGCTGGGGGATAACCTCTAATCAAAGTGAACCTTGATTCAAGAGGTTAGACACATTAGCTATTTCCGTCCCGGTTGTAAGAAAGAGGCGTTCTTCTTGGTGAGGCAAACACTATAGCATCACTGTACAGATGATCTTAGAGCTCCAATAAGAATTATCGTGTCTTTCACATGTAGCCCTCTTCTCGGAAAGCTGTGTACCTTCCATATGTCATCTAATGGCCTACCTTCCTACGTGACACTGCCACCGCAGCTCAGCCCTTCGTTTGCTTCTCTGCGCACCGAGGTAAGCCCGACTCTCATCATCCCACAGCGGAGTTGTAGGCACGGGAAGGTCCCGTTTGTTGTCTCAAACGACGGGGAATCTCTATAAAACTCTACCAGCTGATAGAGCTGAAGCTGATAAACAAAACTAGTGCCAGGGATGAGGGAGACCACCCCAAAAAGGTTCTGATGTAGAGTCCGTCCAGAGTGGTCCGATTTTATACACTTGTACTCCCGATCCCACTCCTTTTCAACCTACCCTATACAAGTCGTGACACTATCGTCGATCCTGAAAGAAACAACCTACAAAGTGTCTCTGAAGGCGGGATCTCAGCGTTAGCATAAAGGCCTGTTTATTTCGGCGATTATGCTCTAACATCATCACGTCAACATTATTTCCAAACGTGACGGGCGAGCTGAACCCTAGGTAGTAAGTGTGGGTACATACATACTTGAGGCATCAAAGGATTTCGGTGTCAGCGATCATTGATGAGGGCCGATTTGCCCCTCCATTGAACAACCGGTGTGCCTTTTACAAGGCCCTAGCCAACAGAGAAACTGTTTTAAAACCACAATGACGGGCTAGATACTTAAGACACAGACTTTGACGTTCCGAATCGTAGTCGCCTGTATACCTAGGGCCCGCCAGACCTTACTAACATCACGCCCACATCAGTAGCAAAGCGTCAAGATGTGCACCGGCAAATTGATCCGCTTCTTCTGCCCGGAGGCTCGCAAGGAAAACAAACTCTGTCCAAATTACAATACCACAAGTGGCGTAATCAAGGATCACCGCAAGGTGTGGATGCACTCCGAATTCAAGTGCTGCGGCCGCCATGCCGGCCCATGTGTCGAATGTGAGGACCTGTACGAGCCCAAAAATGTCAAGGTTGTCAACGCCTGGGCTGTCTTGTGCGATGGCTGCGGCGCCCGTCTAAGAAGCGATATTAAGGCTATCATGGACGCCGTGGATGCCACCTCCGACAGCGAGAACCTGTCGGATCAACGGTCCGTGATTGTTCGGAAAACGGACGCGGCGACGGACGAGAAACCCACCATGCCTGACGATGAGTCTGGCCAGGCTAATGATGATGAGTCCATCTGCGACTGTCCCAAGTGCACACAAAAGAGGCTTAAGGGGCTTAACAAGGAGGTACGATAGGGGTTACGTGAGACGACGGCAAGTTCGAGTGGTACTGACTGCAACGGTCTAAGGGGTGCAAAGAGGAGATGGCAGCGAGTCGCGCTGGGGTGAGTGAACAGCAAGTCTAATCATATGAACAAAGTATGGCGATGTAACCTGGGCCCATGAGTTAACTTTCGACTGTAGTAACTTCAGAAGAAGATGAATCTATGATGTGGCCAGATAAACATAAACCATCATCTCTAGCCGTAAACTGACCATTGCCATTCCCGCGAGGATAGTGCTCAAGTTAGGTACCTTTGGGTTCTGAGCCTGAGCTAGAATAGTGACCCAGATAATCTAATACTTGAGTCGGTAGGCACCATTGTTCTCCTACGAACTCCCCTTTAATATTACCCGACCAAAGAACATTTCAATAAACCAAGGTACCTAAGTACCTACCTCCCTAGTAGCGTTCCATCGACACCCCCTCATCCTCCACACTCTCAGCTTGCTCCTCCTCTCCCCCAGCAGCAGCGGCATCCAACCACCCCCACCCAGGCAACCCAACACTCCAACTCCTCGGAAACTCCTCCATCCCATACCTCCCCAACACCCGCCTAAACCCCGCCTCCGTCCCCGGCACCACACTCACCACCACACAATCCAACCCCCCCCCAAATCATCCGAAAACCACCGGCCCCCCTTCTCCACACCCACTCTCATAACCACCATCTCCCCCAACCCTTAGGCTGCACCACCTCCACCACCTCCCTCCCTTCTAACCTCCCACCTTCACCGCCACCACCCCCGACCCTACCCTCAACCCCCTCAACACTATTCGTCCCACGCCGCAGCGCCTCCCGCGCGCGCACCCCATCCACTGCAAACCGCAGCCCCGGGCCCTGCAGCGTCGCATACAGTTTCCATCGGTGCACGGCGCCACGGTGGAGGGCGGAGTCGTCGGGGTCGAGATCGGGGTTAGCGAAGAAATCGCCGGCGGTGTGCCAGCGTTGCGAGGGTTGCTGCTGCTGCGATGGCTGCTGCGATGGCTGTTGCGAGGGTGATGGTGATAGTGATGGTGGTGGTTGCGCGGCCAAGGAGGGGGCGGTGACGGTGGTGGTTGCTGGTGGTGGTTGGTGTTGTTGTTGTGATGCGCGCACCGTCAGCCAGTAGTGCTGCACGCCGTGCTGGGCGAGGAAGGCTTGCGCTGCGCGGAGGAAGGGGGTGAGTTGTGGGAGGAGGGAGCGGTTGAGGGTTTGCGCGGACCAGGTGTGGAAGGTTGTAGGGAGATCGGAGGTGGTTGCGGTTGCGGCTGTCGTTGGGATGATGGTTGTGGTGGGGGGGTTGTTGGTGGTGAGGGTGAGCAGCGGCCCGCAGTAGGTCCAGGTGGATGAGTTGGAGAGGGTGAGGGGGGGTGGATTGGTAGGGGTGTTGGGGATGGGGAGGAAGTGGAAGTCGCGAGTGGGGAGGGACGCCATTTCTGAGTCTGTCGCGGCTGATGTGCAACCTGACACCTGAGTGAGGTCTATGGTTGTGGATGAAGGGTGGTGCTCTCGGTGTGCTCTGCTCCAAGACGTGGACGCTGACGCGGAACGCCCTGCAGGTCCAGTCACGGCAGCAGCTCCTTTCGGTCAGCCAAGTCTGCACGCCACAAGAACCCGTCCCTTGCTTAGAGTTACACTGCATTCTGCATTACCACCTCCTGGAAGGTTTTCTTGGTCGGGGGCCAAGACGACCAAGATTAAACTCGGAATGCCACTGGCAAGATGGCGTTCTGTGATTGCATGTAGCACAAAGGGATGTAGTTCCGCTTTAATGAGCCCACCTTCTTCTTTGCTCTCGAGACGGGTGCCAGGAACAAGCGGAAGGAGAGTATGGGTTATGTCAATTCCTGCGGAATGGAAAGCACGTCTGGATCTGAGCCATGGTGGAAGATGGAAGGGAACAGTCTGGCTGCTGCAACCATCTTTACAAGGACAAATATATCTCAGGACTGCCATGACTGAACGAGAAATCCCCGCCACATAGGTACTATCCAACATTCCAACGTCGAGGTTGAACAGCAATACTTGTATAACCAGGCCATTGTGAGTACCTAGATATACCCAGAGCAAAACACACCCATCTCACCGTCGTTCCCAGACCAACAAACGCGATACCTTCTTTTTCGAGATATCACTCTACCGTAACCAAAGAAGCCGAGTTTGTCGCCAGTATAACCCGACCCGGCGCTCAGACATAACAAACAACACCATGTGCCGAGTCACCTTTTGCTGGTTTTACTGCTCTGGTTCTCTGAGTTTTCACCCCTGGTGCCCATGGTGGGACCGCGAAATCTTGGAACCCATGCCCTTCGACAGCCACTACCAGGACTGGGCCTCCATATGCTGCCGCTGCCACGACGCTGACCATGACTGCGACACGTGTATTTCCGCAACGGGCTATAACCGAAGACATCTTAACTTCACGCATCTTCAATGTTTAGCTTGCTCAAGGGCCTTGCTACCAGCAGCTAACTTACGGGAAAGGCTCCGAAACCGGCGTTCGGGAAAGGAGTGGTGACGACTATGAACCTTTTGGAAGATCAGGGGTGATGTGGGCCGCGGATGGAAGGTAGTCGAGATTGTGGATAAAGCTCTAATTCCTCAGTTTGCGCTGGTTAAGGTTCATAACATCATTGATAATCAAGGTTCAGGACTGTAAAGTCGGTCCATTGTGCCAATCCACCATGGATCAATATGCACATTGGGGCTGCTCGGTGAATCTTAGTTCAGGTGCCACTAATCCCATTCGCAGTCCATGGGATTATTGATAATTAGTCCTCCATTTCCTTGCAGAGCAGCTGTCGTGCTCAGATTGACGCCACTGATTAAACCATCCATCCAATGTTCAGCGCATGGTGTTGGTTGCTCTCGTTCACAACAATACGTAACGCAGGTAAAGATGGTGGCCTCAAAATTTGAACACAGGGGCAGTTTCCTGTGGCCAACTGGGAACACAATTCCGCTGTGTTTCTCTATAAATTAACCGTGGAGATATGGCCGTCCCTTTCCTTCTCCAAGGTTACCAACCCCGGACTTCAAAATCGCACGTCTGACCATCTATCATTTACGGCTACTCACCCGGCCTAGTCCCCAGGTAAGCCAACCCGTGGCTCTTAGCCTTGCGTGTCAGTCTTCAGTAACACGACCACCCCAGAGACGCCCTCGCATCGAACAACGAACCCGACGAGCCCGCCGCCATGTGCCAAGGGGTGCTGACCCGCTTCTACTGCTGCCTCGCGGCCATGGGGTTCATGTGTTGCCCTTATTATGACGGCATAAATACGTACAGATTCTGGTGCACGGGATGGCGCAGCGACATGTGGGTTTGCTGTAAGTCGCATTCGGGCCCTTGCGAACTTTGTCCCAAACTCCTTGATGTCGGCAGCATCCGGTACTACGATGACAACGACAAGAGGTGCAAATACTGTGGGGAAAACGGAATCTCGCTGAGCTTTGAAGAGCTCAAAGCGCTGCGTGCCAGGCTGTCGTCGAGGCGTGATGCTGCCACATTGCCTGTGGATGGTGACACTCTCGCTGGTGGCCAACACCAGCAGCCAATGGAAACGGAAGCCTTGGTGAGCCAAACCAGAACGAGTCGAGCGTCGGAGACAGAAAATACAACTTTAGGCCTCGAGGGGCTACAGTTGGTAAAGAGCCAGGAGGCCATGTTGTAACGGGGGCCGGTTCTGATGCGTCCCCTAAGGGCGGAGAAGCAATAACTCGGATATTGATTCTTCGAAAGAGGATAAAGTGTATCCAATGAATACCATGTGATTATATGCCCCAGCATCCCGACTTGTGTTACTTACCTAGCTTACACGCAATTTCCCCGCTATCCAGAATCATATCCACGGTGAAATACAAACATGAAAAGAACAACACCACAGCAGCCTGCCCTATGTTGCATCCCGCCGGCCTAATCATCTGGAAACCAACCCTTGAACTCCTTCCCCCGTCCAAATGCATATCCACACTTAGCCAACCACACACTCCAGCAGATCCTATCCAAGACTACACCACTAACACGAACAACACCAAAGCAGCGTCCCCACCTACACCTCACCTCCCTCCTCACCCGGAAACTGGTCCCTAAACTCCGTCCCCCCCTCCAACAACACCTCCGCATTCAACCTTACACTCCACCTCACCATATCCGTCATGCTACTCTCCTTCCACCCATCCCCATGATCCCCAATATCACTCATCGCACTCGCCGGCCCCGCCGGCCGATGATGCTGAAACAGCCCCGGCTGCGTCGTCAAGCACTGCCTGCCCGGCGCGCGCCCCTTCTCCCCCTCACAATAATACCGCAACAGCAAATCAAACGCCGCATCCACCCCCTTCAGTCCCACCTCATACAGCAACTTCTGCGCGCCCCGCCGGCTGACCGCGTAGCCCAGCGTGCACACGCCCTCCTGGACGTGGTGGTAGGCGCGCGTGTGCGGCGGGTAGTCCCGCTTCAGGGTGAAGGGGATGTTGAAAGTCCAGAGATTTTTGGGGGGCGCCACGGTGGCGTCGTCGGCGCGGATGATGCGCGACTTGGGCACGTGGGGGTGCCGCGCGAAAGGGAAGTGCATGCCGCAGTGCCCGATCCAGAGAACGTCCCAGCTGTCGCCGTAGGGGGAATGGGAGGGCGGCGTGGTGGGCGGGAGGGCGGAGAAGGGGAAGTCTGGGAGGGAGTCCGGGGAGGAGTCGGGCACCGGGTGCGGGTAGGTCGGGTCCATGTAGGTGGGGGAGGAGGGAGGGCTGCCAAGGACGGGTTGGGTGAGCGCGTGAGCGGCCAGGGCGAAGTCCGCGAGTTGGGAGCGGACGCGCACGTCCCAGTCGACGTCGTCTTCGAGAATGAGGGCGGAGGAGAGGTTGCGGTGGACGACTCTGGGGAGTTATGAGTTGAGGTTCATTCATGGTACCTGATAGGTGCCGGCAGGTATGATGCTAATATGGTGGGACGCAGGGGGCGGCTGGGTGGGATAGGGGTCTTACTCTCGGATAGCGTTCATGTGAGCGCGCCATGAGCCGATGGAGGCATCCCTGAGGCGTTTTTGGCCTTTGTTCATGGGGATGGCCTTGTCGGGCACGTCGGCGCCAGCTACGCCATCGATGAACTCAATGTCCATGTTGCTGAGGGCGGCCTGCAAAACCATGCCATCGCGACGGTCTGTCCGCGAAGGGAGGCCGACGACAAAGATCTTCTCAAACTGCGGGCCGGGGTCAATACCGCGGATGAAATAGTTGCACACAAAAAAGACTATTATCGTGGACCCACGGAATAACGGGACGGGAAAGGAACCGAAGAAATAAGACGGGATGATACATCAAAACCATAGGACACCAACTATGAAACGGTTGCACACTCACACCCAGGGTGGTATTTTGGATGTCGCCCATGAGGCGGCCCCCAGAAGAGGCCCATCGCCGATTGTCCAACGCAGGATCTCCAGAATTGCCGTCGTAGAACTGGAAGAATAAAATTGTAAATGTTATGAGCGTCCCCACCACGTACAGGATGCGTCTTGGCGGTTGTCGCTGATGCATGTTTTATGTGACGTGACTCGCGCAGAGTGTCCAAGCAAAGTGTGCGAATGGGGGAGGGCGGCGGAGTCGGGACGTGCCTCGAATCGAAAAAGGAGTTCAGATTCACAATCGAAGCTCAGAACCCAAGAAACCACTGCGGCGCTGCTGCAGGGGCCGTGCACCGCCGCATCGAAATGAATGTTTTAATCGGCGTTGACTGGGAAAATCCCCCAATCAGAATACAGGCTGCCGCAGGGGAAGTGGGGTTTACAAGCCAAATCGATGCAGAACGACGGCGCTCACACACAGCTCCCCACCTGCCCACTACAACTTCTTCCACACTCGGAATCCTGTTGCAACCGTTGAACCCACAAAACAATCAAGGAAACCAGCTCGCAACTGATCGACTGCAATCCCACACCGCGGGTATGTGGCCCAGTGTTACCTATTTGTTTTCTAGCTACCTATACTGGTATAGTTGCCCCACCGAGCGATAATTTTAGTCGAAGATGGCTCCTCCCGTCGGGATCCATGCGGCTTCTCCGGAAGATGCTGCGAGGAACCGTGACCGTTGCCAAAACCTACCCGCACCCGCCACTCCTCGATGAAATCAATGATTCCTACCACTTTAATGCTAAAACAACACATCTCGATCCCTCTGCTCGGTCTCACGAATTATGACCCCGGGCTCATGACAACGTTGGATAGGTATCTGGGTCGCAGGATGGTTCACAGAGTCGAGCTTTACAAGCTACGGCTCATACTGCTCCGGCTCACAACACTCGGCCTGCTTTTTCTATTCCCGAACCTTAGCCATGCCAAAACATCGGGGCAATTCTTTCAACCAGGCGTGGGGGAAGTGTGGCGGGTTGGGGACATCATGACGATCGAATACCAGACCACACTGACAAACTACACCATCGCACTGTGGCAAGAAGCCCTCCCCAAGGCGAATGCGGCACGCAAGGGCCCGATACTGTTCCGTAAGTGTGTATGGGGGTGTAGCAGCCTCAATGCGTCTCTAATCCAGCCCGCACAGGGACCACGACAGGCCCGGACACCGGGTTCAAGTGGGAGGTTCAGCTCTACGGCCTCGATCTAAAGCAGTCGAATGTCTTTTTCCTATGGCTCAAGCAGGGGGGGCCCGGTAATCAAAATAACATGAACGTGGATAACTTGTCGACGCCTTACTTCAACATCACCAATGGGCCTCTTCCCGATACCACGTCTAAGCCCTCGACCACCACACAGCTCTCAACATCTAGCGAACTGTCAACGTCCACGAGCGGGTCCGCGAGATCACTATCACTTACCACACCGTCACCACTGTCGACCGAAACCACGCCGTCGCCAACGGCACCTTCGGCAGCGGATGACGCAGAATCATCTTCTCGGGCTGAGACCGGCTTGCCCGTGGGTGCTCAGGCAGGAATAGGCGTGGCTGTGTCCGTGGTTGGGATCACCTGCATCCTCTGCGCCTTGTTTTGGTACCGGCACCTCAAGAAGAAGCGGCAACTTCTCGCCGGTTCCCAACAAAAAGATGTTTCACCATACTCCCCCGCCATGAGCGACCCCTGGAAGATCTCCGAACTGCCTCCCGCTCATTTCCAGAACCCTCCGGCCGAGTTGCGGGCGAGCCATTTCTACAGGTCTCCTTGCGAGCTACGGAATGGCCATTCACCCGTTGAGATAGGCGCCGGGCGAGACTTTGCCGAAATGCCTACCCCAAGGGACTACCGCCCTTAGAGCTGGGTAGCCAGTGAGCCGGAGGATTTAGAAAATGGAAAGGATTCTAATGTACCAAGTTTACAATGCATCATTTCTTATAATCACGTCCTGGGCTCCCGGTCACGAACGCGATGGTATTTACCTCAGGGGTACCCCCGGGTTCCATTTGCGAAGATATTCACTTGGCCATCAACCCCCGGCGGGTTGGATAGCGATGCTATTTACACCAAGAAGGTTTTTCCAGCCAATTGGTAGCCTTCCTGTCTCACGACTATGGTCCTCGCCTCTGTTGACTAAAGACACTGAGAGTAGTAGTCGTTCTGGGCGCGGCAGGTCGAGCCAGACGCACATGCTGTGCACCCGTTCCAGCCCCGGCCACCACATTGGCCCCTATTAAAACGTCAGCCATGTTCATGGATGTGGGAGACTGAACCTAGTTGCACGCACCACTTAGCGACTTGGCATGAGCCGCCGCCACTATTACCACCACCGCTGCCGGGGTCGGGGTTTCCGCCTAACACACCGTCAGCAACCTCTCACATCACAAGGGACAACGCCAACAGAATAACAAGAGAGGAAAAGACTCACCACCACCATTCCCAGCCCCCGGCTGCGGTCCACTAGGCTCGATACCACCCGGCAGCCCGTCCAACCAGCCATCAATCTGCTCCGCGACCTTCTTATCCTGCTTGCACTGATTCCCCGTCGCAATACTCTGACTCTTCAACGTCGGACACACCACATCACAGTTATCATCCATCGCCCGCTGCAGCGACGTGCCCTTCCACCCAAAGACATAATCCCCATGCGTGCCATACCCCGTATAATCCCCATACGACCACACAAACGGCTGGCTGCCATCCTCGGGCCACAACCCCCTATCATTAAACCCCCGCGTATCCCAAATCACCTCATAAAACAGCTGCGGGATCGGCACGGGATGACTCGCCGGGCACGGGCCCCCGCTCTCGAACGTCCCGCTCGCCGGGTACGCCACATGGTCCGCGTGGTTCGGCGTATCCAGGTTCTTGCCGTCCCAGCAGGTCGGGAAGCGCACGTTGGCCATGATGCCCTCCTTGCAGGGCTGCGCCGGCATCGAAGTCGTCTCGCCCGTGCGCGTGTACATGGTCTCAAGGCAGGTGAAGGTCAGTTGGCGGAATTTGGAGGCTTCGTCGGATGTGCGGTACATCGGGTTGCCGACGATCATGCGGAAGCCTGGTTGGAAGGCCGTTACTTTGGACCCTTGGTACGAGGCCGTGTAGTAGACTGTCATGCCGCCGCCGCGCGCGCCGTCGAAGTCGATGTTGGGGCGTTGTGGCACCCGGATGTAGCTGCCGTTGCGCGCGCGGAAGAAGAGCGTGGCTGTCCAGTAGTTGGAGAAGTCCTCGGCGAAGGTGCAAGTTGTGCAGCTGGCTTCTTCCCCGATGTTGTGCCGGGCGGGGTCCATGGTGATGTTGAACATGTTGCCGCCAACGATTTGGTGGAGGTGGGGGGATTGGGAGGCGCCCGGGAAAACGAGGCTGGATGGGGGGGAAGTGGTGTTAGTGAGGGGAGGGGAGGGGAGGATGGTGGATGGTGGATGGGATGGGGGACACGAACGGATCCAGGCGCTCGGTGACGAGCTCGGAGCAGGAGAATCGGAGGACGGCATCGACGCTCGGGGCCCCGGCGAGTGCCAGGGCGGCGGCGAGGAAGCTGCGCTGTTGGAGCTTCATTGTCGTCTGAGAGACAGTTGGCTTGACACAGAGGAGAGGTTGACCGGGCTGTGGGGGCTCGTTGTGTAAGCTGTCAAAGTCAATGCTCGTCGATCACCGTGACAGAGCTGGCAGATTCCCCTTTCTTATGCTCCTCTGTCCATGGCATAATCCCGCTCGATTTCCCTTAGCCCATGGCACCCCCCCCCCCCCCCCCCCCCATCAAACCATGGCGTTGATCCCTCGTTCCGACCTCCATGCTATTCCGGTTCACGCCAAGCAGAGTTGCAATCCGAATACGCCATGTCCTGTCATGCTCCGCGTTCGGGGCACAAACGGCCGACGCTGAGAATATCCACGTGCCAATATTGACATCGTGGGGGGTCGACCTCCGGTTGAATGTAGGGTTGCAACAGCCAGATTATCCGTTACTTAACTGAGAGAGGCTCTGGTGTTCTCTGCGTCGACGGACGAGGGCATTCATGGATAATGCGGGGAATATGGACAGGGGTATCAGAGAAGCCCGGGGGTTGGACCTTCTACCAAGTTTCCATGCGACTTCGCTGCGTCGGGGTGCATTCTGCATGCCGAGTGCCACCTTGAAATGGCAGCGATTCTCGGTAGAGTCGTACTGTACCAGACACCACTGGCCCGGTCCGCCCCTTTTCAGCCCTTGCCTGCCCATTTGAGCTCGGGGGAATATTCCCCGTGGAACATCCCACCTGTCATGGGCCTTAAAAACCCGAGTTTTGTTAGCCAAGCTCTGCAAAAATGACAGGCTTGGTATCCTTGTTGGGGCTTTTCTGTCAAGGCCCCGTCTTGCTCGGTGATTCTTCTATTCCGGCGTGCCATTCCTACGTAACTCGAGGATGCAGCCCGTCTATCGTTCCAACGTCGGTCTCCAATGGCCAGCGGGCTCCGTCCGTTCAACACTAATCAGAAGTGAGAGGGCAGGGAATGTTACTCTCTGATGTGCAGGGTGGAAATCTTGGTGCAGATAAACAAAGGTGTCAGCTGAGACGCCAGAGAGGAACGTGCGATATTAACCACATGTCGGGCACCTCTTTTCCTGGGACAGGGGACGCTGAAGCAACATTGGGGCTTCCAGAAGCTTGCATCTCCCGTCTTGGCGAAGGTATAACCTGGATTCGGAGATAGAGGAGCAAGAGTAATATCGAGCTTTCATTTGGATATATTGTTTGCCCAATGCTGGGCAACCAACTATCCAGCCGTAGGACGTCCAGTGCCCTCCCCTGAATATCGACGATGTACTCTCCCAGGTACTGAACCTCCCGTTAGTTTGGAGTCAGCCGCCGTCTAAATGGTTAATCTATTTCCAGGCTCGGGAGGCATGGTGACGTCGAAGGAATATTCTACCTTGTTCCGTGCTTTTTCTAGAAGATCCACCACCACCTGCTGAGGGTATCATCGTGATACAACTATCCCCAACATAGTAATGACAACCGATTGGTAGGCGGCGGCCGGGAAAAAGCTACTGCGTTAGCAGCTGCAAGTACCTCGTTTCTGCCTACGGTCTTCAACTGTGTTGCGGCTGTGTCGGCGTGATCCGGTTCCTCCGGAGTAAAAGGGGTAAACACATCGGGTTCGCTTTCCTGAAGCAACCTTGACGTACGGAAATAGGGAAAACACATGCTTCTAAAAGACAGTCTTCTTTATGCGTCCATCATGGTTACAATGCCTTCCCCAATCAACTTGGGCGGTGACCGCAGGTGGACATGATTGACGTGGCTCATGGCGGACGAGCGGAGACGACAGGCGGAGAAGGCGGACAACCACAGCATCGAGAAAGAGCGGAAGAGAAGACAGTTAGCTTTACCCCGACAGAATGTTAATGCAACGTCGGTTGGGGCCTCACCGCCTCCGAGCTCTTACCGGTCATGACTAATGATATCCTGTGTTGGGTTCTCAGCGGGACGGTGCCTTCTAGGCCCCCGATGATACAGTTCCTTTTCCCAACAGTACAGATTCGTGCCATCATGAACTGAACCATGCAATTCTCCAGGCAATAACCCCGAGCGCTGTCTTTACTTTCCATTCTGTCTGATTTTCTCATGAGCATCTGTGAGTACCACTTGCACCCGCTCGCAGGTGCCAGGGTCATATTCGCCAAAGCCCACCCATTGGACGTCACGGCGCTCGACTACCAACGCAACTAACAGTACCGGACGTGGCATTTTGCTAACCTGTTCTCGCCATCTTGAGAAGGGATAATAAGTAGCATCTGTGAGACTGTGACACACGGGCGGGAATTAAGATTGACCAAAGGATGGCAAGATGGGGAGAAGCGGCCAACTAAACGAGAGATAACGACTATACCTCACTAAACAGCCACACATATGAAACAACTTTGTTAGCATAGGTCTCGGTGTGTGGGTGTCGAGGGGGGGAGGGCCAGGATTCCAACGGGTCATGGCTCGATACATACTACAGCAATCTCAATCTCTTTCGGAGGAGATATGCCAAGGGACGTGAAAATCCATGACCACACCTCTGCACACTCGTTCTAACTATTGAAAAATGATTCTGGTATTGTTGTGTGGGACAAAGAAGGACATAGCCGACCCCAAGACAGTCTTTTCTCGGCCTTGCTGACCTCTGTTCATCCTCAATACCGCCGACCAGTTAAAAACAACAATCAATTCTGCCCAGAGCCCCGATGTTGCACGTGAGGGAACAACCAATCCGCGCCTCCTGACCGCCCTTTCCGACACTTGCGAGGCTGTGTCAGTGAGGAGTTGTGGGCTTGTGGCTGTGGGATGCATAGATGATAGGCCAACGTCGACAATACAAGTAAGGGATCCCCCTCATCTGTGAAGTACCAACCACCTTCCACCTTTGACTTTCGGCGTCTTCGCTTGTATCAGGAATGCAATAAGGCGGCACCAACGGGGCCCAAATCGATCCCATTCACCGTGGAGCCTGGGGAGCCATCCAGCACCCGCTAGGTACCTTACCTACACTTTTCCGTTCATCTTCTGACCGTGATGGAGGCATTAGCCTCGATTGGGGCTGCGAGCTCAATTCTCCAGCTCCTAGACTTCACCATCAAACTTATCAAGGCCGGCAAAGAGGTTCGAGAGAGCGGATGCACACTGCAAAATGAAGCCCTGGAGAGCATTTATGAACGAATGCAGACATTTCTGACGCCCGTTGCCGCCATAGCATCGACACCAATTACCATGAGATTCTCGTCCGAGATCACCTCATCGGCCCGATGCGCGCTGCAAGACTGTCGTGAAGTACTCTCGTATCTGCGGGAACTGAAGATCAAGAACGGTGGGAGGAAAACGTTGGGGAGTGTGATAGTGGCTTTCAGGTCAATCCTAAAGCGGAGGAAGATCGGCGAGATTGAAGGGCGACTGAAGATGAGGTTGAATGCCATATCTCTCGAGATGAGCCAAACGGCCTGGTAAGTAAATCTGTGTTTTGGCGTTTCGGACCGTATACCTGGCCAAGTACCGGGCTGTCATCAGCGGGCACCTATCCAGTATCAAAGTTGAAAGGTCTAACTAATTATTAACTTGAACTTTACCGAAGTCTAGAGATCCAAAGGCTAAGGGCGGAGACCAACTCACTGGCGGTTAATGGTAGGCTAGCCGCCGACCGCGATTTCAACATGCTGTTGAAACGCCTTGAGGATCTCCACATGGAGGTTAAAGACGCCGAGCAACCAAAAAAAGTCAAAACACTGTGTCAGGTGGCCAAGCAACTCAAAGAACAGACGGAAACGTTCAGCTTGATGTGGCTCAACGACAAATTCCTCAACAGCCTATCCTTCCGCTGCCGCGACCGCCGCCACGAAGCGATCCCGGATAATTACACAAACACGTTCAAGTGGATATACGATATTCCTCATTTCCGGGACTGGATGGAGCATGGTTCAGGAATCTTCTGGATTCATGCAAAACCGGGTGCTGGCAAGTCGACGCTGATGAAGTTCTTGGCCGACAACGCGCAAACCCAGGAGCATCTAGATGTGTGGGCAGCACCATCCAAAACAACCATTGCCGCACATTACTTCTGGAACCAAGGAAGCCCCATGCAAAAGTCGATGCTCGGGTTACTGCAAACTCTTGTCTCGGAAATCCTCCACAAAGCACCGCACCTTGTCCCCCTGGCAATCCACAGTCTTCAAGCACTAATAGCACCGGCAGATGAACCTGTCGACTTCTCCAACCTCGACCATGCGCACGCGGTCCGCATTTGCGGTCGACTCGGACTTCGCGGATCTCACGTATGGACAATGAAAACCTTATCCTGGATCCTCCAAAGCTTGGCTCAGAGCGATACTGGAAATGTCAAGTTGTGTCTTTTCGTGGATGGTCTCGACGAGTTTGAGGGCAATCACCAGGAGGTGTGCGCAATTCTGGGCTCTCTGGGAGCCTCGCGGCATATCAAATTATGCGTGTCTAGTAGGCCCTGGAATGTGTTCAAGGACGAATTCGGCTAAGATTGTACGAAACACCTCGCCGTTCACGAGCTCACCGCCTCCGACATGGAAACGTTTGTTCAAGGGGAACTCAACGCGCATCGCAACTGGAATGCCAACATGATAAGCGCAACGGATGGGGATTCCTTGGTGCGTGAAATCCGTACGAGAGCAAATGGCGTGTTTCTTTGGGTCGTGCTGGTCACGCAGTCACTCTGTAACGGCCTTGCGAATCACGACAACATCCATGACCTGAGACGACGATTACGGATGCTCCCGACAGACCTCGGCGATCTCTTCAAGCACATCCTACATCGTATCGATTCAGTATATGCGCAGAAGTCTGCCGAACTCCTCCAGATCGCCTTACATGACGACATTTCGGCCAAGCTTCCACCCGAGGCATATTATTACCACGAGCAAAATTCTGAACAAGATGATCCAACCGTTATGGGGCCAGTCGGCAATCTCAGCGTCGAGGAATTATGGTCTACAAGACAGCTAGCGAGTCGACGCATCACGGCCCTTATCGGTGATCTTCTAGAGGACAACTTTCATGGTCCATTCGCTGCACCAACAGTAGAGTCTCTACATCGAACAGTCGACGATTTCCTTAGGACGGAGGGCATCACAAAGGATATCCGCTCCCGAACGGGGCCAGAGTTTGACGTCCACCTCGCGCTCACGAAGCTTAACGCGATTTTGATCCGATCCGCCTCAAGCTCGGACTACGAGGATCGGATATGGTCATTAAAGCGCGTCTCTGCAATCATGAACGATAACATCCCCCAGGTCTCTGAAGGTTACAACACTCGCTTAGCATACAGATACTTGGATGTGATTGATCATCACATAGCCGGTTGTTCCGAGGTCGAATTTGACCTCCTCGACTTCAGAACCACGCTTTTAGAATCCCGGTTGTTCGAATACGTCTCGGAGAAAGTATCAAGGAACAACAGATACTTTTTGGACGTGGACATCGACCCAGAGGATACCCTTCGAGATGCAGAGGACCGTTCCGCTGCATCCACAATGCTTCGCATAATCGTGTCCCATTCTTGTGTATCCATGTCGGGCAAGTCGGTCGAGTCTCCAGCCAGGTGATCAAGCACAACCTAAAAGTCGAAAGCTGTGTCGACAAGGCCGTGCTTCACATTCTTCGACCACGTCATGGAGACAGATTGGAACGCAGCATGACATATTGGTCCCGGCTACTGGCGATGAGATTGGTTGGAGGGTGTGCTGGAGGATCCCGGGAGGCTCACCTTCAACCGTTGCTTATAATTATCCATGGCCGCAGCAACGGCTCAGCTGTACTGCAACTGGGAAAAACATGCCGTCCTCGCCGTCCTCAACTGCTCGTCCGTCCTCAATACCTAGGTACCTACCTATCCAGCCGTATCTTCTCCCTCCCGCGGCACAATTTCCACATCGTAGTCATTGCCTGACTTTCCTGTTCCTCGACCTCTCAGCTGCACATCACATTGATCTCTTGCCAACTGCGATTCGAAATGGATGACCTTTCTGATCTTGAGCTGGCGGGCCTCGTGGTTTCCGAGGTAGAGATTCATCTTGGAGTTGTTGACAAGAACCTTGCTGACCTCATTATCGCCCAACGAGTTGCTTCCGATACATTCGAGATCTTCCAGCAGAAGATGGGAAGCATGGCCGGCGTTTCCCTCCCTGTCAGCTTGCTCAAGAGCGTCGATCGGCTTCTTCGAATGATGCATCCATCAATAAAGGCAAAGAACACACATGCCTACCACGGACCCGGCACACAGCGCGGCGTCGAGCAACCCCACGTCCGATCCCAAGCCTACATCGAAGCCCAGGCCCAATCCCGCCCTTCTCTGCCCGGTCAGGCGGCGAATCAGGCCCCAGTCCAGGATCTCATCAACAACCCGCGGAAACGCGGGCGCAGCCGCAGTCGAAGCAATAGCCCCAACACGCAAGGAAACCGGCGCCTGAGAAGCAATCCTTCAGACTACGACAGGCCCAGGCGCACACCCTACGATGCGGACCTTGACCGGTTAATAATGGAGGATGGGGAGCGGCGCGGTCGACAAGGCCGCTGCGAAGACGATCACAGTCAGAGAGAAGACGAAGTTCCTGTCCTTAACAACATCTATGATGGCCATGTGGCGGGCGTCAAGAAGTTTGGCGCGTTTGTGAACCTCCAAATCGGCATTGGAAACGTGACCGGCCTTGTTCACGCCTCGAAGCTGGCAGAGGGGCTAAACCATCCATCAAACTTGGTCGCGCGCGGCCCAGTCAGTAAAAGTCAAGATTATCAGCATGGATGGGACACGCATTGGATTGTCGATGAAGGACGTTGATCAGGACACGGGTCGGGACCTCGCACCCCGCGTGAACCTCGCTTCGAGTGCTAACATGGAATCTCCGGGCAGAGGTAACGAACCCGTCGACGCAGAGCTCCGAGCGCCCAGTTCCGCCGCAGAACACCAGCGGAAGACGACATCACCCGAGAGGGGGGGAGACCCAACAGCTCACTGCAGCTGGAGTTTTGAAAGCGTCAGACTTTCCAGGCCTTGAAGACCACAACGCAGCACTCGGAGTTGACGGCGGAATGGGGCTAGGAGAAGACTTGGGCATTGAGCTCAAAAGCGAAGAGCCGCCTTTCCTCATCGGCCAGCCCACACAGTCTCTCGAACGTTTATCCATTCGCCTGATCAAGACTCCTGACGGGACCATGAGTCGGGCTGCTGTGTCCGGGTCTGTGTTGGCCAAAGAGAGGCCCGAGCTACAGCTGCAACGGGCTGCAAGAAAGAGCACCACTCCATCCCCGCCCGCGCCATGCACCACACCACGCCAGACACATCCGTGACCAGCTCGCCCCTGTCATGGTAGACCGCCACCACCAGCCGCCAGCGTATCGTCTTGTGTGGCCGAGAAACAAACCGGGTGCGCCGCGCGTTGTGCGCGGGGTGGGTATGGGATGCGACGGGGCGGTGGCGGAGTGCGGGAGAGAAAACTGCGGCCGGGGATGGTGGTGGTGTGTACAAGACGGTTACACGGGCAGGGCACAACCGTGTATCATGAGCTTGTGTTGACGTTGGCGGGGGAGTATGTTATGCGTGGGGTTACGGCGGCGGAGCCGGGTTGGTTGGTGGATGCGGCGCCGGGCGGAGAGGGGGTCGGATGGGGGTGTGTAGGAGTAGTGGCCCGTGTAGAATGGGAGTCATTGGGTGGTGGGTGGTTAGGTTTGGGGGTGTCGTTGGGGGGTTAGCTGAGGCGGGGTGGCGTGAGGAGGACGTGAGAATGAGTGTTGGGCGTTTTCATGGTGTTGTGAGTAAGGTGGATTCGGCGTGTCAAGATTGTGTGACTGCTTGAGTGTCTGGTTTAAGTGGTTTGGGGCGTGTGTTTATGCTTTGGTGTTCCTATAGTGATTAGTACCTAGTCACTCCCGTCTTGTTGTTATTCTGGGGTGGCCCAGAATGATACAGGTCTGTCCTGGGGTTGACTACTGACGTCCTTCCACGTTTGACCGGATGTGGAAACTTCAGCTACAGGGCTTCGTCTGATACGTCCAGTAACAACGTCCAGTAACAACGCATGTGGGATATGTGAGCTGTGCAGCGTCATCGGGTTGGAAAAGAAGGACCCCAAGATCCAAGGCTGTGTGGCCTGGTATTAACCCCACCCATCATTGTGTTAGGGGTTGCCCAACGAAGCCTTGTTGCGGCCTAAGCGGCGCGGTGGGCGCAGGGTGTTCCACAACCCAAGTTACAGCACTGGGAAGGATTTGATAACAGGAGGGTGTATCGTTTTCCCTGACGGTTCGAGCGTGGGAACTAAAAGTCGATCGAGGTCAAAGCACAACAAAGCGACGCTTGAAATGGACTTTTCTGTTAACGGGTTCACTTGCTTAACCCTACGAGGGTCGCTGATTGGCCTTATGCTAATCTCCACAGCCGTTGTTATATCAATCATCCGCCCTAGTCACGGGTCCACGGGCATTTAGGACTTGTAGATGCGGATCAACAGTTTGTTGTTCCCCGGAGTATACTCGGACCCTTGCACGGTGTTGTCCGCCCGTGTGCAGGAATCCATAATGAGGCCACCAGCGCGGGCAATATCGTTGCTAACCAGGTCAAACCAGTCAGCAATCATCACTAGTACGTCATCTGTCGTTGTCGTAGGGCAGGGGAGGGTAAATAACGGAGACTCACCAGGGGACAGTAATGTGGTTCACGCCCGACTGGCCCGTGAGCTGTGCGCCGCCGAGCGAGCAGAACTGTTTGTAGCTCTGGCACTCGCACTTTTGCTGTCCGAGGCTGGCGAGATAGTTGATGCAGGCTACGGCGTCGGCGACGGGGGCCTCGGTGCCGGGCTTCTCGTTGCAGGTGACCCGCTTCGTGAGCTCGCCACGCCTGCTGTGTTCTGTGGAGGCGGTGGGATGGTTAGCCGGCCGTTTTTTGTCTCTCCATCTGTACCAATACCCAAAGGAGATATGGGCAAACATGGCGTGTCACCTACCGACGGAGCCAGTGTTGTTTCGGGCAGCGTTGAAGGCATCGACGGCTTGGTCCGGAGTCAAGGCTGCGTCGGGGTTGGCGATGATCTGCTCCACCCAGTCGGCGAAGGAGAAGCCCGAGCTGATCACCTTGGACTCGGCGGCCGAGGGCGCAGCGCCGACAGCCCGGCACACGGCCAACAAGGCAACGGTGGTGAGAGTAGCGCGGACCATGGTGCTTGGTTGTATTGGCTTAAAAGTTGACTGGAGATGTGTGTATTGCTGCTACTATTTGCCTGGGACGTGCCCGTTTTATACTCCTTTGGCCAAGCCATCGCCGCCGATCTCGTCGGCGACGTCGGGAATTCCAAATCTTTTGAGTGGGGGCTTTGCAGCTTCCTCCCAACCAACAAGCGCGCTACACGTCGGATCGCTGCGAGGAAGTGATCCTACGAAAAGAATCAGGCCACCGCATTCTTCACGGCGCTTAGCTCTGACAGGGCTGTGTTCTGCCAGCAAAACAAGTACATTCTGGAAGGCGGTGTGGAATTCTTGGATTTGATACTGCATCCTAGGAGTCGTTTCGTAAATATATATGATATATCGCGCACGGAGCGGTCAGGTTACAACTTTCAAAACGGAGTAAGCACAGTCCAAAGTTGTGATAGGCGGGCTCTGGTTGCCTACTGTAGTACTACTGTGGACACGAACTACACGGTCATCGACTCATCGTGTTGGAGGCTGATATTGAGACCACTCTGGATCAGGTTATCAAGATATCAGTGGCTTTTAAGTTGCATGTTGTTTAAACGTCCGGACGGGATCATGAACCAAGGGCTCCGAAACCCCACAGTTAAAATGGGGAAGGATGCCCATAGAAACTGAGCACAAAGCGAGCGTGGTGTCGAGTCCAAGGCCATTCATTGTTTCTGGTCGTCGACGGTAAACGCCGTGCCGGTGCAACCCCCCGCAGTCGGGCGGTTTTCCATTTTCAGGGGCTGCGGCTGAGAATCCATCTCGGGTAAGGCCTTTGGCCTAACTCAGCTGCCCCACCGATTTTCTGGGGAAAGATCGGCAAGGCGATTTGCCAGTCTCGACAGCGCAGTGACCGAAGAATGGGATTGGCCAGAGAAGGGGATGCGCCGCCGAGAGAGAACGCAAGGGCGTCGGTATCGCCGTTACCCCCTCCCCCCTCTAAAAGCATTCTGACCTGAATTAGAATAACGTAGGTGGTTTTCGTAGTGGGCAAACAAGGGCGAGAAGTGAATCAGCCTGGAATCATCATCGATGTGAAAAGAAAGGGAATAAAAATAAACCGTTGCAGAGAAAGGAACAAAAAAGACGGCCCCTGGTTGTCGGGATTGTTGACAGTTGCCCAACAGACCCCAAACCTCGAATTGGACTCGGGTGGGTGGACCCCGTGTGGGCCCACGCCAAGTCGCCGCCTCTCACTCCTGAAAATCGCATTCTTGCGGTACCGGCTCAGGCCTGGCGAGCCTGGGCACGCAGCAACCAACAACCTGGCCCCCTTGTGCCTCGCCAAAAACAGCAACAAATTTTTGGTCGCCGCCGCACGAGCCTCTTGGATCGTCGCAAACTTGTTGTTTCCATCTGCGCCTCCCTTCTCTCACGCCTCCCCGGTTGTTGTTGTCCTCCACACCAAGAGAACTCACTCTTTCAGGGCGCACGAGCGAATTGTGAGAATCGCCCCAACCCTTCCAATCCGGCGGACGAATACATTCTTTTTTTCTGCAGTTTGGCTTTTAATTTGTTGCCACGAACCGGACCGCCATCCCACTCCGCCTTCGTGCCCGTCTTTTTTCTCTTCTCATTCGCCCCTCTGCTCCGCAACAAACTTCTGTCAGCTGCGCCAGTCCCAACTCTCGCTCGCTCTCCCCGGTCTCCACCGCCTTCCCTGCGTGTATCAATTCGATGCCGTCGGGTTCCTGAAAGTCTCGCCTCTCGCTTTTTGGATCGCCCGTCCTCGTCATCGCCTCTCGACGTTAGCAGGGAGTGCCGTGTCAGAAACGATAAAAAAAAAGGGGTAGGAGGTTCTTGGCCTCGAGTTGAAAAGTCGACGTGCGAGCGAGCGGGGCGATATCTCGCCAACTGCCTGCACGACACACCAGCCTGTACAAATTCGACCATGGCCCCTTTCGGCTCGACTTCCGCTACACTTTCCACTCCCTCCGAGTCGAGCGCCCGCAGAATTGTCCAAATGCAAGACTGGGTTCCCGCACAGGAAGCCATGTTCTCCGACGCTGGTGCCGCGCTGCCCACCGGGCCGTCGTTGCAAGTCCAATCCTACAACGTGCACCCCCCGCACTCCCGACTACGAAGCATGAGTGTCTCCCTTCCGTGGCGACAGCGCCCTAAGTCGGCGCTGATCGATCCTGGTATGGAATCCGGATATTATGACTTGTCGCTGGAGAAGAGCAAGAGCCACGGGTCCGGCGGGCAGGAAGATATTCTCCTCCCGCCTGTGGCCCCGAGAGAGGGCAATTTCAAGCGAATGTTGCGCCGGGCCTCAGTCTCGCTCAAGACAGGGGTGAAGGGATTCATTCACAGACGGACCTCGGTCCCGGCTACGACGACCTTCGATACCGATGGCCGGCCTGCGAGGCCCCAGTTCGCCGGCTCCTCCCACCATGCCCCGCGCCCGACGACCTCACACGCGGGTTGGCACCGCCTTCGGCAGAGGGCCAGTTTCCACCGACAGTCGCCAATGATGTACCCGGGCTATGGCGAGAAACTATTCCAGCACGACCTCGACCCGATCGAATCCCCGACCTTTCCCGTCCCCGGCTCCGGCGAGCAACCGCCCATCATCCCGCGGAATACCGGGGCCGCGGCGAGACATGCGGCGGCGATTGCCTGCAATGGACTAAACGGTTACGATGTTATGGATATGCCGTTCCCGCGTCCGGGATGGCTCGCAAAAGATTCGCTGGATGATCATGAGAGCGGGATCGGGATTGCCCTGACGAGCTGTGAAATGGAGGCCTACGTCCCGGGCGATGAGGTGGATTCTGACGTAGATGTTGGAACCGATCTCAGCCGCGATGAGACGGCCATCATCAAAGTTGACTTCATCTCGGAGCTGCCGACGGAGCTCGCAATCCAGGTACTTGCGCTCCTCGATGCGGCGACTCTGAACACAGCCAGCCGGGTGTGCTCGGGCTGGTCCGAGGTGATCAGAAACCAGCACATCTGGCGCGAGTCGTTCTTGCGCGAGAAGACGACCGCTTACGCCACGAGCGGGCCGGTAAAGCCAGGTGCCGGCTTGGGTGTGCCGAGTGTGCAGCCAACCAACGACTGGAAGGAGATCTACAGGGTGAAGACCGAGCTCGACAAGCGCTGGAAGGAGGGCAAGGCGCGACCGGTTTATCTTAACGGGCACACAGATAGCATCTATTGCCTGCAGTTTGACGAGTATGTTCTCTACCCCGCGATTGACTGGCCATTCTCCCCCAACTAACCGGCCCCAGATCCAAGATCATCACCGGTTCCCGCGACCGCACCATCCGCGTCTGGGACATGCACACCTTTGCCTGCACGCTCGTCATCGGCCCCCCCGAAGTCGTCAACGACGCCTGCGCGCTGCTCTACGACGAGAATAACGACCCGCTACACCACGCCACCATCCCAGATATTGACGCGTCCCCGACAGCCGACGGGCTCCCGCACGCCCCAATCCGCGCATGCCCCTCCGTCCCGGCCCTCTACGCACCGTCGATGCACCACCAAGCCTCCATCCTCTGCCTGCAATACGACGACCGCATCCTGGTCACGGGCTCCTCGGACTCCACCTGCATCGTGTACTCCATCGAGGATGGCTACCGGCCTGTCCGGCGGCTGCGGCACCACTCGGCGGCGGTGCTCGACCTCGTCTTCGACGACAAGCACATCGTGACCTGCTCCAAGGACGTGTCCATCTGCGTGTGGGACCGGGCGACGGGGGCGCTGCTGCGGCAGCTGCGCGGGCACTCGGGCCCCGTCAACGCGGTGCAGATGCGCGGCAACACCATCGTGTCGTGCAGCGGCGACTTCAAGGTGAAACTGTGGAACATCGAGACGGGCAAAAACATCCGCGAGTTCCTCGGCCACACCAAGGGCCTCGCCTGCACTCAGTTCTCCGAGGACGGCCGCTACATCGCCAGCGCCGGCAACGACAAGGTCATCCGCCTCTGGGACGCCAACACCGGCGAGTGTGTCCGCTCCATGGACGCCCATGATAACTTGGTCCGCAGCCTGCATGTGGACAGCGTCAGCGGCCGTCTGGTCAGTGCCAGCTATGACTCGGACATCAAGGTCTGGGATATGGAGACGGGCCAGGCGCTGCTGGATTTTCCCAAGTGGCATTCCAGTTGGGTGCTGAGCGCCAAGAGCGACTATCGCCGGATTGTGAGCTCGGGGCAGGACCCCAAGATTTTGATCCTCGATTTTGGTGCCGGCGTGGAGGGCATTGAGATGCTGGAGAGCGCGCCGACCCCGGGATTGGTGGTAAAGGTGGAGGAGCAGCAGGGGGCTGGGTATATTTGACTACAGACAGGCAGGGAGAGAGAGACGATAGATCTCTGGGTAGTCATGTGAGAGTCGTGTTAATGGTAATCAAGAAAGAGGTGGGAAGCGCTGGTTGGCTGATGCTCGCTGGCGAGCGTTGGTGCTAGGGCGGGGGATGGTATATAGTAGATTTTCTTCTGTTGGGCAGATAGGGAGACGGCGTTTGGACTTGTTGGTGGTATCTATGGAGGAAAAAGGAAACATGGAAAGATGGCAGGTATCTTGGAGGAGGATCAATGGGTTGGTTCTGCCCCATCACTTTTGGGTTGGGGCGTGTTGGGCGTACTGTCCTGGGTTGGATTTCCGGGGGTTTGCATCACGAGGGGGCATCATCCATCCTGCATATATGGGGGCATCTAGACAGAGCATCGAGACAGACATGTTTGTAGATGAGATCCGTGGTGCTGGGAGAGTTGTGGGTTTTATTTGAAGCATTTTGTTTTATTTGCCTTGCATCATGTTGGGGGTTGGTCCTGTTGATGTGATGTGTGATGGGGATTGGCGGTAAGAAGTTGGGTATGTGTGTGATAAGGGGTTGACGGTGATGTGTAAAATGACACGGGATTCAGCTGACGCGCTGAGCCATCGTCACATGGCAGATGGGTTGGTGTCATCACTGCTGGCGCACTGTGGGCATCTCAGGTGGTCTTTGTGATGCATGGATCAGCATAAGATATATCATGATCTGGAATATGCACATCATGATCGGGCCGATGGCTTAACAGGCAACTATTAATTCACAGATCAGCAGCAGGGGAAGACTCGGCAGCAGCGGACATAGAGATGAAATAGGTTGGGCTTCACATGGAAAGTCCTGGGCGTCGGGCAGGGAAAGTGAAAGCGAGGTTGCTCGGATCTTGGGTGCCGGGTCAAAGTCCCTGGTAATATATGTGAGGCGCGGTGCCTGGCGGCATCTTGTCCTTCGCCGCGCAGCGTGGTAACGGTGTGAGCTCTCAGATGGTAACCTGTGGCGAAGTGCCAGTCAACGGGTCCGTGGCCTGTTACACCAGGTTGGGCCGTGACGACTGGATTTGGAAGACCCTTGGCGGCCTATTTCAAGTTCTCCAAGCTCCAACAAGTGCCGGCAGGGGAAATAGAGAGGCCTTTGTCTGTGATAGCGCCGCCCAATGCTGCATCTGCCAAGCGGGATGCGACGGGCGAGGCGTCGGCGGACGACGCGCGCCAGCAAGCACCGTGATGCACCGCGGCTGGAGTGTGACTCGGGGTCTCATCGATTGGTGTGGGAGAAATCGGGGGCACATCTCAAACACTCGCAGCGACCCCCAGTGGTGGGGCTCTGAGATGGAAGGGGCAGAGATGGAGCTGCAATGACTGGCTGGGAAAAAACAGGAGCTTCTTGTGGGGGGCTCCACTCCATGTTTCGAAACGTCGCTTTCTGCAGCGAGTCCTTCCCCTGCGCGACATGGGTTGGCCCAAGCGCCCTGGTGCCAAGATTCTGTTTGGGCGATCCCCAGCCAACGTTGCTTCACCCAAGGAAACTTGCAAGCCACCATCTGAACCACTCCCTTGCCCGTCCAGCATTTCATGCCTGTGAAGAAGATCTCTGGGCGATCGTTCGAAACGCCCGAATACCCAGTCATTGAGATATTTGGATGACGTTGGAAACGCCAGTCCACGATACGATATGATGCTCTGGCACTCAGCACAGCGATGAGCACTCAGCAATGAGCAATTCACGATTGCGCTCTCGGGCTCCGAGCGGCGGCGGTTACACGGTTGCTTTGTTGGGCGGTTGCATGAACACACCCCCCTGAATATACCCCTTGATGTTGTGGTCATGGTCCCGCCGACCTTTCGTTTCTGTCGTCTGATGTCGTGGTCCCACACTCTCCCGGCCCAGTTGGTCGGGCGAGCACTCCATTTCCAGAGAGCTTGTTTGACCTCCCTGGCCCCCGCGGCCAATTACAGCGAATACAGCAAGGGCAAAACTCCATCTTTCTTTTGCGATCACAGATGCTGAGCTGCCAGCGGGTCTGAGCGAGGGATACCAGATACCTCGCATGGCCTGCCAAGCTGTGCCTGGAGACACCGCACCCTGCCCCCACTGGCATGTGGGAGGCTAGCGTCAGGAACAAGCGCACCGGAGCATTTCCATGAGCATGCCTGTCACTTCCTTACCGCAGGGCCATCTGAACAACCAGCCGCCGAGGGAGGGATATGGTGCCGATCTCCGGGGCGGCTACCGCTCACCACTTGGGTTCCCAACCTTGCATCGAGAAACAAGGGGTACGTGGGTCGGGAAACCGAGCACCACCCCAGCGGCAGACACAATATAAGATCGTCCGACCACACCCGTCGTTTCTACAACAGCTTGTGATGTGTCTTGCACGTCAACCGGCCTTCGTTCCCTCCCACACCAGCTCTCTTTTCTCCTTCGTTTGTCATTCATTCGCTGCCTTTGCTGGCCAGGGCGCATTTCTGGCTGGTTCAGAGCAATTGTATTCGTAAGTGTCCTCTGATGTTCGTTTCTATTCTTTCTTCTATTCTTGTTCAGTTACCCCTTTGGGAAGTCAGATACTCGGAACAATGGCCTCGAGTGAGGTAGCGGGGCAACCGCGATCCCCATCCCGTCCGCCCCGCTATTGTTCATTGTTCTGAACCAGCACTTGTTGTCCAAAGTGGCATCTTCTGAACAATAAGCATGACCGGTCATCTCTCTTGTCAGTTGGCGCAAAACGCAGAAAATGCGTGCACCTTGCGACCCGTGGCTGTATGGGTCATAGTTACTTATACCTGCCCATGTTCTTTATCCTCATTGTCCGGGTTACCAATTCCCCTTCCGCTCCCTAAGCCCGTTCCTATACTCAAACCTCATTTTGCAACTCGCTTCTGGAAAGCTGAGCTAACGAACTAAATAAGGACCATATACCTGACACCCACATCTGGAGATAGCTGGATCTAGACCACGATGCTCTCAAGGATATCCACAGTCTGCCTACTGGCCTTGGGCCTCGTGTCCCCGGCCCTCGCGGTGCCCGGCACCGGCACAGGCACCCGGCAGTAAACACAAGGCAAAGCGCAGAGTTTTTGGATGGGCAAACATCGAACGGCTTCGGAGTCGCCGCCTTTCAACGGCGATGCCAACTACAAAGTGTTCCCGCAATGTCAGAGACTACGGTGCCAAGGGTGACGGCGCGGCCGACGATACGGACGCCATCAACCAGGCTATCAGCGATGGCAACAGGTGCGGCGAGAACTGCACCTCCCAGACCACGACCCCCGCCCTCGTTTATTTCCCGTCCGGCACGTATGTTGTCAGCAAGCCCATCATCCCCTTTTACTACACGCAGCTGGTGGGTGATGCCCTTGCCCCCCCGACTCTTAAGGCCTCCGCCGACTTTGCGGGCATGGCCGTCATCGACGCGGACCCGTACGACTCGACCGGTAAGAACTGGTGGACGAACCAGAACAACTTCTTCCGCCAAGTCCGCAACTTTGTCATCGACCTGACGGGCATGCCCGTCGAGGTTGGCGCCGGCATTCACTGGCAGGTCGCGCAGGCGACTAGCCTACAGAACATCGTCTTCAACATGCGCGAGGATGGTGGGGACGCCAACAAACAACAGGGCATCTTCATGGACAACGGCTCGGGTGGTTTCATGTCGGACTTGACCTTCAACGGCGGCAATTACGGCGGCTTTTTCGGCAACCAGCAGTTTACCACGCGCAACCTGACCTTCAACAACTGCAAGACGGCTGTCTTCATGAACTGGAACTGGGCGTGGGTGTTCCACGATATTAAAATCAACAACTGCGGTGTCGGGATCGACATGTCCAACGGCGGGCCTGACGGCCAGACGGTCGGGTCCGTCCTCGTCCTCGACAGCGAGTTCACGAACACGCCGGTCGGTATCAAGACAGCCTATGACCCCAGTTCTCCCCATACCAACGGCACGCTTATTCTCGAGAACGTTGACATGACCGGCTCGGCCCAGGCCGTCTTCAACAATGCCACGGGCGCCACGATCCTCGAGGGGAACCAGAAGGTCAGCTTCTTCGCCCAGGGCCGGGGTTATGGGGGTGCTGGAGGCAACTCTGGCGACGCGTTTCAGGGACCGCAGGAGGTCGTCAAGAAGCCAGCTGTACTCCTCCAGCGCGAGACCGGGAAGATAATCACTCGCAGCAAGCCACAGTACGAAAACGTCCCGGCGGGGGATTTCATCAGCATCAAGAAGGCCGGCGCCAAGGGTGACGGCGTAACCGATGATAGCGACGCTATCCAGAAGGTTTTCGACACGCTCGACTCCTCCAAGGTTATCTTCTTCGATCACGGCGCCTACCTCGTTACCAAGACCATCAGAGTGCCCAAGGAAGCCCGGATCGTCGGCGAGGTTCTGCCTATGATTCTGGCCGGCGGTGACAGCACGTTCAAGGACCAGGAACAACCCGCAGGCCTGTCTTCCAAGTCGGTCAAGCCCGGCGATATCGGCACGGTCGAGATGTCGGACCTCATTTTTGGCACCGCCGGCCCGCAACCCGGCGCCATCATGATGGAATGGAATCTCAAGGCTGCCGCCGCGACCTCGGCTGCTCTCTGGGACGTGCACACGCGCATCGGCGGGTACCGCGGCACCAACCTCGAGCTCGAGCAGTGCGCCAAGAACCCCAACGTCACCAACCCCATCAACCCCGACTGCTTCGGCGCTTTTATGATGCTGCACGTCACGCCGGGCGCCGGCATCTATCTCGAGAACACGTGGTACTGGGTGGCGGACCACTCGCTCGAGCCCGAGGCACAGGACGGCCAGATCGACATCTTCAACGGCCGCGGCATCCTCATCGAAGGCCCGAGCCCCGTCTGAGGCTGAGGCACCGCGTCGGAGCACTCGGTCCTGTACAACTACCAATTCAACAACGCCTCCAACGTCTTCCTGGGCCACATCCAGACCGAAACCCCCTACTACCAGCCCAACCCGGACTCCACCGAGCCCTTCCCGCCCAACCCCAAATTCGCGGACCCGGACTTCGCCACCTCCTGCGCGGACGACACCACGGGCACCTGCAAGCGCGCATGGGGCGTGCGGGCGGTCGACTCCAAGGACATCTTCATTTACGGCGCGGGCCTGTACTCGTTCTTCGACAACTACGCGCAGGACTGCCTCGAGACGGAGTCGTGCCAGGCCAACATCGCATCGCTCGAGGGCGGCAGCGAGGTGTATTTCTTCGGCCTCAACACCAAGGCCAGCGTCAACATGGTCAGCATCGATGGCCAGAGCGCCGCGCTGGATAGCCAGAACCGCAACACCTTTTGCGCCACGCTCGCCTGGTTCCAGCGACCCTCTTAGAGAGTGGGTGGCGGGGGCGGGGGATGCGGTGGTGGTGGTGGCGGTGGTGGTTATGGTGGGGGTGGATATGGTGGAGGGCTGGGGCCGGGGAAGTGAGAGTACAGATAGTCTTATACCCTGGGGAGAAACGAGTAAAGTGGGAGATGGGTTTGTTGTGCTCTTCTTGGTTATATTATCCATTTAGTTCGTTTTATACCCTTCTAAAAACTGGCCGAGAGGCAATTGGTTGCGAGTTTGGGTCGGTTCGGTCATGATTTTTGGTGAGCTGGATACACGGGATACATTTCTTAGAGTCTGCAAGGGAAAATGAGTAAATAAATGAGACTTGTCCATGAATTTTTTGTTGCTGTCTGACTTTTTGTTGCTTGCGGTGAAAGTGCTGGTAGGGGCTGACGGAAAGCGCCCAGTGGCCCAGTGAATTGCCAGATGGCCAGATTGCCTGCGGCGGCCATGCCGCCACGCCAGAACACTGCCAAGGCAATCGCTGCAGTCCAATTCGGCAACGTCATAGCTTCTAGGCTTGCCTGCCAAGGCCTCTTCGCGGCTGCTCTCCTTTGCATTTTCCCTCCGCCATCACCCCGACCAGACGAAGCATTACGCTCCCCCAGCCGCTTTCGGACAGCGCCGTTGTTTCATTGTATTGCGCCCACCGGGGATATCGCCCAGTACAAAGAATCCCGCCACAACCTGCGAGCGGGCGACCAGCCGAACCGATTTTCCGATCCCATTCCTCGGCCACACCAAAAAACAACGACGACCACCACTACCACCGCCGCGATACATCACACGCCCCAAACAAACAACCCACCATGGACGACACCGACCGCCCAACCCGCCGCTACAAATCCCCCTCCCAGCTCTCCCGCGAACCCGACTACCACCCGCCCCCTCCCCTTGACCACAAAACCACC